CCACAGAAAGGCATGGCACATAAACTTGAAAGTTAAAAGTAGCTTGTAATTGAACAGTGAAGTCCAGCTGTTCTGGAGAACCTGGAGCCAAACCCAAAAACGCTTAGAAAAATATATAAAATATCCATATGAGGAAAACACAGCCTATCCTCTATAGCGGCAGTAGGCTACACTTTAAAGCTAAACTGGATGATACAAGATGCCACAGGGACTGTACATTTTCCTAAAGCAAAGCCTAATCTATGCTGTGAAACAGGCAGTTAATTATGACTACAAAAAAATAAAAAATAAAAGAGAGAGAGAGAGACCTTAGGTCCAACTTATAGATGATTCCCCACATGTAAAATGTCCCTCCTGATATCACTAAAAATGTAACCACACAATCTCTGTCTTTGGGTTCGTAAATGGCAAAAAATTAAAAATAAAATTACTACTGCATTACTACTGCAAAGTATGGAGGCCCATTTCTGCCACATATGAATAAAAGTCATGCTTTGGTACAGGTAAATAAAATGTGTCAAAACAAGATAAAAAAAGTTACAATTATGACATAATAAGACACTATTATGAGATAAAAGCCATAATTATGGCATAAGTTTGAAAATATGAGATGCTAAGTTATTATGACAAAAAGTCATAATGACGACATACGAATTTAATAATTTAAACATAAAAACATAATAAAACATAACATTGATCCTTTATGTCACAATTATGATTTACCAAAGCATGATTCTTTTTTATTTATTTATTGAACTATTTTTATTTTGGTGGAAATTAGCAAATATTAATATGAAAATTAACAAAATGATGTAATACTCATCCTCGTTTGATTTCAACCTATAACCTTCAGCATAAAAATATATCTTCATCCCATATACATCAGCTTATTACTGGAGAAACATTTTCTAATTAGCACAGCTGTTTATTTGAGAGATTTCCATTGGTATTTGGCATTTGGAAATATGAGTGATCTTTTGTTTGGTTTGTCTGTCAACAGTTGTGCTCCTCTCCCTTCTCTTCCCCTCACTCTGCCTGATCCCATCAAACACACTGAAGTGTTGCTTGTTTGAAAACCAAAAGCAGAAATGATGTTTGACAGCTGTCACATGTCTGTGAGTGATCTGATATACAGCGGAAAGAGAAAACCTGATGACACGAATGACTGCAGTTCATTTAACTCTTACAGATATGATGAAAGGTGTTCACAGCAGACATGGCATTAGTTTTTCATCAAATGTCAGAAGACAGTCAATAAAAACCGTGTCAGTAGGAGTCCCACAGACAATTTGGCTTCTCTGGACTGCTATCTTTTGTTTTCCATTCTTGTTTCCATGCATTCACAATGAACAGCCACTAAAAATTAAATTTTGAAAAAAATAAAAATAAAAATAAAAAAAATAAATAATAAATAAATAAATAAAAAGAATGCAAAAGCACACTAAAAGTAGTCCACAGGACTATATTCCAAGTACTCTGAAGCCATGCATCGTTTTGACAGAAACTGGAGTCTTTAACTCAAGTTAATCTGAGTATCTGGTGAAAATAATTAATTTTTCAATTCATTCATTCACAAATTTGACTAATCCAGTTCTCAAGTTTATTGAGGATAACAGCTTGAAAATTGTGAAGAAATATCATTTGGACCCTTTCTACAGCATGGCAGAAACAAAATTAAATATTTTCTCAATTTCTTAACACATTTGTTTTGTTTTTTTAATTGATGGGAAATATACGTTTCTAAATTTACTACTTTTTGCTACCCATTTTTTAACCATTTAAAATTGTCTATGTATTGCTAGAAAACCAAATATGAATTTTAAACTCTGTTTTTAACTGTCTAAATTCTATTTAGAGTTTAAACTCTAAAACTGCAAACCACAACGGTTACAGCATTATACGTTTAAAGAGACAGTTCACTGAAAAATGAAAATTCGGTCATTATTTACTCTCATGTTCTTCCAAAACTTTCTACGAAACACAAAAGATGACATTTTAAAGAAAAAAAACAAAACAAAACACTGAGACTTTGATCTTCTTTTAGAAGAAAGAAAATCATACAGGTTTGGAATGACATGAAGGTGATTTTCATTTTTTTTTGGGTGAACTATCCCTTTAAGTACTTCCATTTCTAAAAAATATAAATGTGTGTGTGTGTGTGTGTGTGTGTTTGTCTAAAGTGCGGCATTTAGTATACCTGGGCATGAATTAGTTCAGGTCAAGCATATGGCCAAATGTCACAGGAAATTGATAGCCTTGATCATGCATTGTCAAATAAAACCTGAAAGATGTTTTCACCTACTCTAAAGTATTTAAACACACAGGGTCTTGAGCTTTGCATTTTGAGTCCCAATTCTGTATAATTGGTTGTGAAGTGGGGCCAACTTTTAACATCTGATTTAAGTTAAGAAAGCCATTGTCATACCCACCTAATAGATTCCATACTTCAGAAACTCATCTCTCAGTGAACAGCTGAGGCCATATATCTGCCCATAGAAAGACCTCCTGTCCTTCTTTTGGTGTATTTTGCACATTACTTTTAGTCCTCATTCTGAAACACTGCAATAGTTGCTAAGAACCTGTTCTGGAGGGAGTGTAACTGATACATAACTAAAGGCAGTTAATGATGCACATAGGACATTGGGTCGAGACATAGACCTTTGGGAAGACTTAACAGGCTATCTGTACATCTCAAATATTGATGGATAAAAGGTTGCAATGTAATTACATTAAAATAATCATTGCTTACAACAAGACTTTCCAGCATAATGTAGGCTAAGTGGAAGAACAATGTGTGATGAGCAGAAAGAAATAAAGGATTTTACATTTACATTTACACATTTACATTTAGTAATTTTGCAGACGCTTTTATCCAAAGCGACTTACAGTTTGGGGATACATAAAGCGCTGTTGATCTTGCTGTGGAAGTATGAAGATTTGGCAGTATGGACTTCAGCATTTTAAAGACTTCAATCCAAGCTGAAAATTCCAAATGTATCAAACTGAGATGCAATTACTATATATAGGACCAGGAGTTAAATTGGGATTTGTTATGTGGGGGGGGGCTTACACACACACACAAATACACAAATCAAGTGAAAGAGAACGACTACTAAGCAGAAAAAAAATATGTTCTAGTTAGTTGAAACTGAAATTATAAGTGTTATGAGCAGTAATGTAGTATCATCAGCAGAATTTAGAAGATACACACATCTGAGTAATCACCTTTATTTTAAACATTAAAAAATGTTCTAGTGTGTTTGATTTTTAACTTTGAATACAAACTTATCTGCTTTTACTTTTGTAGTTATTTTGCTAGTCAACTCCCGACACGATGTCATTCACTGAAAGCACAAATACAAAGCGTCGCGTCTGGGCGCGTCAACGGTGCCCGCGCTCTTTTAAACTCGTAATAAAGCGGTGAATGATCTTTCCAGAAATTACGCTGATTGACAGAACAAGTTTATATTTAGAATACATTGCAATCACTCTAAAATAGATGACGACAACTCACAAACCTGCATTAGGAGCTGGACTTCTTTGTGTGCCTATTTAGCCATTTGCATCGCACAGTTTGCAGCACCTGATGGATGCGTTCGTTACGCAAACATCCAGAAGGCGCGACCCGCTTTGAAACTGCAACATGAATTGGTTTAATTGCAGATGAGTGACAATTCAACTATATCCAATGAACAATGAGGCTAGTATCTCTGCCCATCTTGACTGGTGGACTGGCATATAGGGGATGCTATGGTTATGGAGGCCCCTCCTCAAAGCCCGAGGCCCTAGGCAATCGCCTGCTCTGCCTATAGCTAGCGCTATAGTTGAGCCCTGCTCAACCGATTCGTTCAAAACACGGAATCAATCAGCAATGAATCGGCTGGTTGCTGTGAGATGCTTGGCTGTGTTTCCGCCTAAAATGTAAGTGACATAATATTATTTTATTTGCTTATTGAACTGTTTATAGAACTATTAAACTGTCGTAATGGTGAAAACGTTGTGTGATGTTGCCTAACTAACTGTATTTTAAATATAAAAACTTTCCATTTTGAATTTTTACCTCAGGATGCTGAGTTTCTTAGTGTTCCGCATTTTGATTTCTCCTGGAGAGGCTGCGTGAGCCTCGCCTCAGCAGCGCAACCTTATTCCGTCAATAGATGCATTATATACAGTAGCTATATCCACTATTCATAGTTATTTTTGGTTACTGATGTTTTAATCATGTTACTTGTCTGGCTTTAATGAAGCGTTAATGTCGAGCCCTGGAGTCTATGTGCCGTGAGCACAGATGGACCTGTTCAAAGTAGTGCAGACCACCTACTGTCTAAAGGATCTCGCACGTGCGCTGTTGTCTTTGAACAAGTCGCTGAAGACAGTGTGTGTGGACATAAATGGACTCTGCTTATGAGGAAAAATAACATCCATATACATTATCTGTGAGATGGATTTTCGGATTGGATTTTCATCTGGTGCACCACTAGTGTCACCATAAGAAAATGCAAAAATAAACACAAACAGACAGCCCAGTCCCCAACTCACACTATAGGTTGAGACACTAGCTGCGTCCCAATTCAAAGGCTGCATCCTTCGAAGGCCGCAATCGAAGGGCGATTATGACAAAGGCTGTCCGAATTTGAAGGCTCCTTCAAATATGGGCCCGAAATGTGCCCTTCGCTTCTCGAACAGTGAAGGCGACAACATTTTGACAAACAAAAAAAACCGAGTGCCCTGACAGTTGTGCTTTTTTCAGTATCTTAAAAACATATTAATGGCTTAAGTCTGATTACACTGTATCCAGCATAAACTGTGCTACAATAATATGTAAGTAGCATGCATGTACATGTTTGTGTTTTTGAGAAAACAACGTTTATGCGTGGTTAGTGAAAAAGTAATTTGTTGCCTACATTTAGTGTTTTACTTCTGCCGATTGTATTTATGCTTTCTTTTTCCCCCCAGTAAACAGATATATTACTTTCAGTCAAAAATATATATTATTTCGACTTTAAAATTAGTAGTGTGAATTTTTGGATTAAATTTGTGGATTTGTGGAAAATATTTAGTGAACTGATGAGGTTAAATGTCAATGAATGGGAACAGTAGAGGGTCCAAAGTCAACAAATGTCAACTTGTCCTCTTTTATAATACCACATTGTGGGAGGGAATATGTCACCATGTACCAGTTTTCCAGGAAGCACTGTTCCCTTTTGTCATTCTCGGAAGCCAAATGAGAGAAGTGTGAGAGGCTGACACCACCTGCAGACTCTCATTCACCATGTTCTGTCCCCAGCATAAAATATGTTTGACAATAAATTAATTTGATTTACATGCACTGAATTAGAATGTTCTACTTGAGTTCTTGACGCATCTGAGACATCTGAACAAACATAATTTGCAGTCTATGAAAAATGAAGTAACGATGTGTAAACTATAAAATTAGGGTGGTCTATTGACAGTACGTGGAACATGTGCTGCAATTGATATTTGTGGTTGAGCAGTTTCAAGTATATTTTACATGATCCTTCATGTATACTGTGATTTTTTTTAATTAAAAGCTACAAGTCACATCTTACTATGTCATGCCACTCTAAAAACACTTACTAGGAATGTTACAACATTCTTTTTAATGCACAAGATCTATCTCAATCATAACTCAAGAGACACATGATATCTTCCTGGTTTTCATTACCCATTTTAGTGTTTGCATCACTGCATCTTCCTGATCTCTCAGCTCTTGTTCCATCTTTTAAATGTCAGTTGGTTGAAAATGAAGCACTGAAGACGTCTAAAATCACCTTGTCAAAACTTGTGTCAGCTGTCCTCTCTCCTCAGATGTTGTGTAGTGGCTACTTTGAGAAGCACAATCTATTTGACCTTTATTTGACTGGCTTTAGAGATAAAAAATAAAAAAATAAAAACAAACAATAAACAAGCAAGCAAGCTCCGGGAATAAAACCATCATACCAAAGATCTCCAAAAAGTGAGAGAGGTGCCTAATGCTGCACTTTCCTTCTTTCTTTCTTTCTTTCTTTCTTTCTTTCTTTCTTTCCGTTTGTTTGTTCTGGAATACAGAAGTGTTTTGAGGCTTTGCTGTATAAAGGTGAAGTGTGTCATTTCTGCACTACTAGCATAACCCAATGGAATTCGAAATACATTTACAAGCACATGCTTTTATAACAGCAGAAATTTGTCTGATGGAAGTGGCATGCGGCCAAGTATGGTGTTCCATACGCAGAATTTGTGCTCTGCATTTATCCCATCCAAGTGCACACACACAGCAGTGAGTAGTGAAATATACACACAAACACACACACACACACGGAGCAATGGGCAGCCATTTTTGCTGCGGTGCCCTGGGAGCAGTTGGGGGTTTGGTGCCTTGCTCAAGGGTCTCACCTCAGTCATGGTACTGAAGGTGGAAGAGAGCATTGGTCATTCCCTCCCCCCACCTACAGTACAATTCCTGCCGGTACTGAGGCTCGAACCCGCAACTTGTTGACGTAGTTTTGGCTAACATGTCTTTAGAGGGTAGGTTTCAAAGAGCAAAATATTACAAAATGAAATATTTCTTTCCATTTCATTTTTTCCCATCTTCCGTATAGATCGGCAAAGCAGTGTTATGAATTTGACATCCCACCATTTATCTATTAAAGCTGCACATTTCAAATTAAATTAAAACTAAAATTGTGAAACAGCCTTGCACGATCACTAAATCCCAAAAAGACTGTGATTTTAACCAATTTGTTGCTGTCAGCATAAGCACAAGGCTTTCTTTTGATTCACAGATCACAGTAGTGTTTTATTTGAATCATCATGACAATGGTTAATTGAACATATAAAGTGTCCTTTGATCTATCTTTTGAAACCTGAATATGGCTGACAATGCAATAAATAATGCAATTAAAAAATTAATAAATAAAACCACAGTCTTTAAGTAGAGTGAACACAGACCTAAAAATAACTATTTAATATGGGGGGTGGTTGTTAAGCTAGATTTTTTTTTTTTTTTTCGATAATTATGGTTAGCATTTCTGTGAAACTGCTCATGTCTAAAATGTAAATGTGCTTGTTAGCGGGTAGGTTTTTGTGTGTGCCCATGGCTGTGTATATATTTTCTAACACTTTGTCATGACGCCGGTTTTAGGTGATTATGACACTGGTAAAGTTGTGAAAGCAGCTGGTTAAGGAGTGTAATTTTTCTGTTTAAACCCAAGCCAGGAACGACACCTTATGAATGGTACTTCAGGTGCCACTTACAAGGCCTTACATTTGTTTCTAATTCCCTCTAAAACCTTTGAAACCTTAAAGGGATAGTTCACCCAAAAATGAAAATTCTGTCATTAATTACTCACCCTCATGTCGTTCCAAACCCGTAAGACCTCCGTTCATCTTCGTTCATCTTAAGAGCGAAAGAACATGTTTGACAGTCCATCTTATTAAAGTTAGCAGCTGCTCAGATGGGTGTTAAGTACACGATGACTGCTGTGCAGGGCTCAAAGGTGGCACTTTGAATCAATTCAATTCAGCTTTATTTATATGGTGCTTTTAACAAAAGAAAAAGCAGAAAGCAGTTTCACAGGTTATCAGGCATTACACTCCCGGTGTGCAAGCTCATGCAAACCGTTAAAAAAAAAAAACTGTTAAAAAACTTAAAATGTGTTTTGTCTTCATGAAAAAAAAAGTATTCTTAAATAAATGGTTATTACTTTTGGAAAATATGTTTAAAATCATGTGCCCTCACATGAGATAAAAGACGACAGTTTACTACCTAGTCTAAGACTACAGATTACTTGTCATAATACTTGTCTTTATGAATAGCAAAAGATGTTGAACACAAAAGAAGATATTCTGAAGAATGTTGGCAACCAAACAGTTGCAGGTAGCCACTGACTTCCATAGAGAGAGAGAGAGAGAGAGGGAAGTCAATGGCTACCGTTAACTGTTGTGTTACAAACATTGTTCAAAATATCTTATTTTGTGTTCAGCAGAAGAAAGAAACTCATACAGGTTTGGAACAACTTGAGGGTGAGTAAATTATGACAATTTTCATTTTTGGGTGAACTTTCCCTTTAAATAACACTTACCTACACAAAAGGTTAAAGTTGCCACACAATACAGTACATTTGAGAATATACCGAGTTAGTGGTTTGTTCAAAACTCTCTAATATGAGCAGTGTTAATTGGGATGATTGCAAGAACCAATAAAACCAGCATCATTGTTGTGATTGGAATAAAGTGCTCAGTTCAGATTTAGTAATGTTAAGTGCAGTCCTTATGTGGCCGACCTGGTATTTTAAACTCCTCTGGATCCCCTGCTGTTCATTTGAGCATGCACTGAACCTAATCATATGCACTTCTCATTTATCAAACTGACTCTTAAATGTCTGCAGTCTCCATAAACCTGAAAATTCTCTCTCATAGGCCAATCTGATAGTGTGGGAAGCACAATTTCAGTAAGTGGGGAATAAGATTGTTTGCTTCTATTTTAGCATTTTTCTGAATGCAGGACAGGGTTTTTCGCTAGGGAAACATCTAACTCATTTTTCTTTCTCTTGCTCATTAAGATCAAGGCAAAGGAGTTTATCTGTGTCCTGCAGAGCTGTTTTCTGTCTCTCATCAGATAATATTGTACATTTTCAGCACAACATGAAACAGAATCTCAACTGGTTATTATCATTAACTATAATTGTAAGCTGACAGATAAAATATGTTTGTTAACTAAAGAAGTTTGTAAAATTAAAACAAACTAAACTGTAACCATAAATGTGCCATAGAATATAAACAAAGTGTGAGTATATTTACAGAGAAATGTTGGTGTAGGTGTAGTAGGAAGAATTCAGAAGAATTTCTGGAGCTGTTTTGTAAGAAAGGAAAATGAAATAAATAAATAAAAATAATAATAGAAATAATACTTTTTTACAACACAAGCAGAACGAAAATTATGTATGCGCCATTAACCAAACTGCAATTAAAAATAATAACTAAATAAATAACTAAATAAATAAATAAAAAATGGAAAAATGAAATAAAAACAAAAACTAGCAAATCTTTTATATTTATAATAACAACTCATAATTAAACTCCACAAAGTAAGCTAGCTTTTAATTTAGGGACCCATAAAAATACATTTTATCAAAAAGTTTGTCTAATGAAATTAATTAAACTATAACTAACTATTAAACTATGTAATAAATATTTTAAAATGTAATCAAATGAAAATGTATCAATCCGTTTTTTTTTTTTTTTTTGTCAAATAAGATGCTGCACAATAGAACTGTACAAATTAAAACATGGATGAAAAAATATCCTGGTTGGATGATATTCCTTAAAATTATTATTATTATCATTATTATAATAAAATTATGACTTTGAGCAGTACATTTTAGTATACAACAGCAATAGATTTCTGACATATTTTCTTTAATTTACTCAAATTTCTTTCATTTCATTTTATTTTATTTTATTTTAATTTTCTCAAATGTTAAATCTAATTTTTATTTTGGCGGTTTGTCATAAAGGTTTTTAAGTTTCAGTATGTATTTGATGGCTGTTTTTCCTCACATGAAACAGTGAGAAGCTGGTGAAGTGACTCAGAGCAATTCTCAACTCTCATGTGTTCATGTCCTCATATATTGAGACGCAGATGCTGAGAACACAACAGTGAGAGTCACATTGTGTTTGAGTTTGTGTAGTAGATGAAACTATGCCATTCACTCACAGAGACATGCACTTATTACTTATTAGCGATTTGCACTGACTGGCTGTTGTCACATTTATTTCTACTATGTGATTAATTCATATTTTAATACATACATACACACACACACACACACACACACACACACACACACATATATCATTTGGCAAATACCATTCATTAAATTGTTAAAAATACTGTCCAGCTACTTGTGCTCAATTGTACCTGCCTAGACGATGTACAATTTTTACCCAGATTTTGCCCTTTAATATCTTTCCTCATAGGCTAAAACTGGCAGTATGGGGCCACTTTGAGTGACATGCTCACTGGTGTCTGATTAACTGCCTTTTGTTAAATATTAACCGTTGACAAAATTCTGACAATGTCAGGAAATCCCTGCTGTGTGAACTCTCCTACAACGGCTGTCTAATGAAGAACCAAAAGTAACCCGAGTTACAAAAGTAACATGTGAGTTTGAGTGTGAGTGAGAGAGATGTTCAATACAATACATTAAATATGACAAGCAATGAAAGTGAAGGACGGAAAAAAAATGGCACGATACAATAGTGATGGATACACACTTTATGTTTTAGCCTTGACAAACTTTCAGCGCTGCCACAACCAATATCTGTACTCTTGTATATTCCACTACTCTGTGTGTACTTCTAATGTCTGTGTGGGTTATTCTTTCCTCTACAGATCCTTTCATGATCCCAACACCATTCCAATGAATCACTTATTTCTCTCAAAATGCAGGGAAAGCCTATACTAAACCTCACCAATAAACATCTGTTTGTGTGGCTCTGGAGATTCATTTCTGAATTCATTTAGTGAAAGAAATAAAGAAGCCATGTATCTCCAGGCACAATGGAGAATCATTTCTCAATTTTGCCTGTACTAACATTAGCTCCTGGATGTACACTGTACTGTACTAAAAGGAAAATAATACTGCAGAGCACATATTGTAGTAAGTGTTAAATGTGTGATATTGCTTTCATGTGATATCTGTTTCTGAATCACCTACTCAATATATTGTATCAATTTTCTGAACATGATTAGCATTAATTAATTTCAATGACTACATGATCTTAAAGCTTAACTCTCAAAAGTTTAAAATTAAAACTCAGTACAGTATATTTAAGACTGAGTTGGTGGTTTGTTCAAACCTCTCATTAGCAATGGTAATGGAGATATAATCTCTATAAATTAACTCTACAGCAGGTTTATTTATTGTCTTTCAGAAAAATGGATACAACATTGATGACTCGTGCACTTATAGCCATATGCAAACTTTTGTCCAATAAAATGCTTGATTATTATGTTGTTGTATTCTGTGGAGAACACAGTTTTGATTTATATTTTATTATTTTTAATGCTTTCTAAGAATTTTGAATTTTTCAGCATTTATAAACTGCATTGAATGTATTGCATATATTCTGTCAAGATAGATGCAAAGTAGTACCTAGATGTGTTACAAGTTGTTTTTTTTTTGTAATTTATACAAAATCCAAATTAATATATACAAATTGTAATTTTATAACATACAAGTAGAATAAAAACTATTAATGTGCCATTGAAGACATTTACAAAATAAAACATTATAAAACACATATAAAAAAAAGTGGCCTGGGGTTTATATATATATATAAAACCCAGGCCCCTTTTTTTTTTTTT